GTCTCGCTCTGTCGCCCGGGCTGGAGTGAGCGCCGTGGCGTCAGCCTCGCTCACAGCAGCCTCCGACTCCCAGCCTCCAGCGAGCCTCCTGCCTCAGCCTCCCTCCCGAGTAGCTGGGACGACAGGCACGCGCCTCCACGCCCGGCTCGTTTTTTCTATATATATATTTTAGTTGTTTATGTAATTTTTTTCTATTTTTTTTTTTTTTTTTTTGAGAAGAGAGTGCGTGCCTCGCAGCAATCGAAAGCGGAGGCGCCGCCGCTCCGCCATGGCACCGGCAGGGGGCGGGATTGTCGAAAATCTCCCTGTAACCGCCGCGTGGCCACGCGGCGGCAACGGCGGCGCGGCAAGATGAAGATCGAGGAGTGAAGACAACGACAAGACGCAGCGCGTCGCTCGCACACACGGTGAAGGGCTGGGCTGGACGAGAGCGGCTGGCCAGCAGGCGGCTCGTCGTCGGGCAGGAGAACGCGCGAGAGGTGCGCGGCACGCGGGATTTGGGGGGGAGGGGGGCGCCCCCCGCGATTTTTGGGGGGTTCCATGGAAACGGGGCTGCGGGAAGCGGACGTGACAAACCCAAATTCGGGCCACCCCAACCCCACTAGGTCAAGATGGGGACGCCCGAGACTGAGGGCGGGGCCGCGTGGGATTTGGGGGCCCCCCAGCCATTTTGGGGGTTTTCCATGGAAACAGGGTGCAGAGAACAGGGACACCCCCCAGGGGTGACAAGCCCAATTGGAGGCCACCCCAGCCCCCCACTAGGTCACCCATGGGGGGACCGAGACTGAGGTGCGGGCCCGCGCGGGATTTGGGCGCCACCTGCCGATTTGGGGGTTTACTATGGAAAACGGGGCTGCAGGGAGGCAGGGACGACCCAGGGGTGACAAACCCCCATTCGAGCACACCCGCCCCCCACTAGGGTCACAGACTGGGGGACCCGAGACTCAGGTGGGGGGCCGCGCGGGATTGGGGGCGCCCCTGCGATTTTGGGGTTCCATGGAACGGGCTGCGGGGAGTGGGGACGACCCCCAGGGGTGACAAACCCCAACGAGGCCACCCCAGCCCCCATAGGTCATAACTGGGGGACCCCGAGACTGGGGTGCGGTCCGAGCTGGGATTGGGCGCCCTGCCGATTTTGGGGGGTTTTCATGGAAAACGGGGCTGCGGGGAAGGGGACGACCCCCAGGGGATGAAAAGCCCCAATTGGGGCCACCCCAGCCCCACTAGGTCACAGACTGGGGGGACCCGAGACTGAGGTGCGGGCCCGCGCGGGATTTGGGGGCCCCAGTGGGTTTTGGAGGATTTACCATGGAAACCAAGCTGCAGGAGCAGGGACGACCCCCCAGGGGTGACAACAATTCGAGGCTCCCAGCCCCACTAGGGTTACAACAGGGGGGACCCGAGACTCAGGTGCGGGGCCCGCAGCTGGATTTGGGCGCCCCCTGCAGATTTTGGGGAGGTTCCATGAACAGGGCTGTGGGGAAGCAGGGAACCCCCAGGGGTGACAAACCCCAATTGGAGGCCACCCCAGCCCCCACTAGGGTCATAACTGAGGGACCCCGAGACTTGCTGCGGCCCGCTGGGGTTTGGGGGCGTCCCCCTGCAGATTTTGGGGAGGTTTCCATGGAAACAGGGCTGTGGGGAAGCAGGACGACCCCCAGGGTGAAACCCCCAAATCGAGGCCACCCCCAGCCCCCAACTAGGGTTAACACACAGGGAGGACCCGAGACTGAGTCGCGGCCCGGCGGGATTCTGGGGGCGCCCCGGCAATTTGGGGAGGTTTCCATGGAAACAAGCTGTATGAAGCAGGGACGACCCCAGGGGGTGAAAGCCCAGATTCGAGGCCACCCCAGCCCCCCACTAAGGGTACAACAGGGGGGGACCCGAGACTTAGCGCGGGCCCCGCTGGGATTTGGGCACCCACGTGGATTTTGGGGGTTTCCTGGAACCGAAGCTGCAGGGAGCAGGGACGACCCCAGGGGTGACAAGCCCAATTCAAGGCACCCCAGCCCCCCACTAGTGTCACCCAAGGGGACCCGAGACTGAGGTGCGAGGCCGCGCGGCGATTTGGGGTCCCACGGGGTTTTTGGAGGTTTCCATGGAAAACCAACCTGCAGGGGCAGGGACCGACCCCCAGGGGTGAACCCCCAATTCGAGGCCACCCGTACCCTACTAGTCAAACTGGGGGAACCCGGATGCCGGTGGGGCCACGTGGGATTTGAGGGCGCCCCACGTGGATTTGGGGGGTTTTCCATGAAACTGGGCTGTGGGAAGACCCCCAGGGTGACAGCCCCCAATTGGAGGCCTCTCCCAGACCCCCACCAGGGTCACAGCCAGGGTGACCCAAGACACAACGGGGCCCCGGTGGGGGTGGGGGGTTGGGGGGTGCGGGTCCAATTTGTCAATTTCCTGTCTTTAGTTTGTTGACTAATGTTTGTGTTTTCCTTTTTTTAGTAGAGACGCGGGCCCGGCTCTTGTGCTCAGGTTGGCCTCCAACTCCGACCCAGTCGATAAATCTCCTGCCTCAGCCTCCCGGTAGCTGAACGCATGCGCCACCCACGCGGCTTTCGTTTTTGTATATTTTAGTTTCCAGCTCGTTTCTTTCTAATTTTTTTTTTTAGTAGGAGACGGGTTCGCCTCTTGCTCAGGCTGTGCCTCCAACTCTGCCCAATAAGAACTCCGCCTGGCCTCCAGAGTGCTGGGACGACCAGAGGGTGAACCTCTGTGTCGGCTAATATTTCTTATACATTTTTTATTGCCCAATTACATTTTTTCTAATTTTTTAGTAAGACGGGGTCTCGCTCTTTGCCAGGCTGGTTTAGAACTCTGCCTCGAGCGACCTCCCTCCCGGCTCCAGAGTTTGGGGATACAGGGTGCGCCTCTGGCGCCCACCTAATTTAATATCTATAATTTGAGTGTTTCACTAATTTCTTTGATTTTTTAAGTAGAGACGGGGTCTCGCTCTGCTCCAGGCTGGCCTCCAACTCCTGCTCGAAGCGAGCCTCCTGCCCTCAAGCCTCCGAGTAGCGGACTACAGGCATGCCACCACGCCGGCCCATTTTTTATTTTCCTGGTTAATTAGTTGCCAATTATTTTTGTATTTTTTTTTTTTTTAGTAGAGACGGGTTCGCTCTTGCTCAGGCTTGGGCATCGATTTCCTGGCCTTCCAGCGATCCTCCTGCCTTCGCCTAGAAAGTTGCTTGAGATGACAGGCGTTTTGAGCCGCCGCGCCCTGGTGGAATCTGCTTTCAAAGTAGCAGAGCTTTCTAAATCATCTCGAAAAAGGCTCTGCGTGAATTGATCCGTGTTTTCAATTATTTTACCAAAAGCCAGGAGATTTTGGTTTGTTTGGGTTTTTCTTGATATCTTATTTTTTTTTTTATTATTTCTTTTATTTTAATACTTTCTTTTTTCTATTTCTTTTTTTTTTTAGAACTGCATGCATTGATGTTGTTTTTTGTAACGCTTGCTCTTTGGCCAGGTATTGCAACCTGAAACTCCCGGCCCCACCTCTCCTGCTCGGCTCCCTCGCCGAGTACTGGGACGACAGCATGCGCCTCCAGCCCGGCTCGTTTTTTTCTATATTTTTTACCTTGTGGCAGACTATTTTCTTTCTATTTTTTTTTTTTTTTTTAGTGAGACTCTGCTCAGCTGGTTTGAACTCCTGAGCCAAACAGTGCTACGATCACAGCGTGAAGCCGTCACGCTGGCTGAGATTTAATCCATTAAAATCTCCTTAGTTCTTAAAGTGCCAATATACAAGGCCTTTCACTGCATTGTTTTGTTTTTTTTTTTTTTGTAGTGAAAACTTGGGCTGGCTCTCATCCTACGCACTCTGGGAGGCCGAGGCGGGAGGACGCTGGTCAGGAGTCCCGAGGCCGCCCTGAGCAGAGCCGAGACCCGTCTCTGCCAAAATAGAAATTAAGCTGCACAACTAAAAATTATTAAAAAATTAGCCAGGCCGTGGTGTGCACTGTCTATATAGTCTCAGCGTACTTGAGAGAGGCGAGGCCGGGAGGATCTCGCAGGGTCAGGAGTTGAGGCCAGCCCTGAGCAAGAGGAGCCGTCTCGTAAAAAATAAAAAAAAAATAATTGGCCAACTAAAATATAATTAAAAAATGCCGGGTGTTGGCCGCCAGCCTGTAGTCCCGCTACCGGGAGGAGGCCGGGGCAGGAAGGGCTCGCCTGGAGGTCAGGAGTCGGAGACCACCTGAAGCAACGAGCGAGAAGCCCGTCCTACTAAACAAAAGGAATAGAAAGAGATGACTGGAAACTAAAATATATAGAAAAATGAGCCGGCATGGTGCGCATGCCTATAGTCCAGACTACTCGGGAGGGAGGCGAGCAGGGGATCCCGGAGCCCAGGAGTCGGAAGGCTGCTGGAGCGAGTGCGACCACGGCACTCGCTCTTTAGCCGGGGACAGAGCGAGCTCTCTGAAAAGATATATTATGTATAGAAGAACTGTAATCCCAGCTACTCTGGAGGCCGAGGCGGAGATACGCTTCAGGTCAGAGTTTGGAGCAGCCTCAGCAAGAGCGAGACCCCGGTCCTTACTAAAAAAAAAAATAGAAAAAGTTAGCTGGACAACTAAAATATTGTATAGAAAAAAGTTACCGGGTCGTGGGTGGCGCATGCTGCGTCCACTCTTGGAGCGAGAAGGAGATGCTCAAGCTTAGGGTTGAGACCATCCTGAGCAAAAGAGCGAGACCCCGGTCGCTGTAAGACAATAGAAAATAAGTTTAATGGCCAACGTAAAACATACATAAAAAAGAGCCGGGCCCGTCGGTGCGAATGTCCTGTAGTCTCCAGGTACTGGAGGAAGCCGAGGCAGAGGATCGCTTTGAGCCCAGAGAGTTTGAGTTGCTGTGAGCCGAGGCTGACGCCACGGCACTCCCTCTAGCCTGGGCAACAGAGTGAGACTCTGTCCAAAAAAAAAAAAAAAAACAACAAAAAACCAGCCGAAATTGACGTCTCGTTTTCCGTGTCGTCCGTTTGGCAGCCGTGCGGCGGGATCGGGGAGCTGATCAAGAGCAAGAGATGCGCCGAGCTGTCTGCTAGCCGGCCCCTGGACCGCAAGTACCGCGCCTGTCCCCTCTCCCTTCCTCTCTCTCTTTTATTTATTTTATTTTTTGTCTTTTCTTTTCTTTTTTCCACCCCCCAGCACCGGTCTGAAACCCCTAAGCCAGATCCTTCAGCCTTCCCTCGAAGCCGGGGCTCGCGCCTTGCTTTTCCCTTTTTCTTCTTTCTTCTTTTTTTTTTTTTAGGTCTTTTTTGTTTAATATTAAATATTCTACTTATTATTTTCCCATTTAAAAGTTGAGGATTTTTCTTTTTATATTTTTTTATTTTTATTTTTTATTTTTCCGGATCCCCATCAAGTTCAGGATTTTTTTTTAAATTAACATTTTCTTCCGAATGAGACCGCCCTGCGTTAGTTGTTCTCTGTCGTTCTTGTCTCTTTTTTTTTTTTTTAATTAAAACATTTCTTTTCTCTGATCAGACCCTCCTGCGGTGTTTCTGTGCGTTTCTCTCTTTATTTTTTTCTTAATAGAGTTATTTCTTCTGAACAGACCTGGTTCTGCAGTTCTCTGTGTCTTCCTTTTTTTTTGTTTTTAAGTTAAAATTTCTCCAATGGAGTCCGCTCCTGCAGTTAGTTTTTCTCTGTGGTGTGTCTTTGTTTTTTTTTTTAAATTAAACATTTTCTTCCGAATGCAGGCTCAGGTCCTCCAATTGTTCTCTGTGCGTTCTTTTTGTTTTCCGTTTTTCTTTTTAAATAAAAAATTTTTCTTTCCGAATGAGACGCGCTCCTGCGGTTGTGTCTCTGGCGTTTCTTTTTTAATTAATAAAATTTTCTGCCGAATGAGGACCTGTTCTCCAGTTTCTCTGGCGTTTTTCTTTCTCCCTTTCTTATTATTTTTTCAAATTAAAAACATTTTCCTTGCCCAAGGAGTCCCGGCTCCTTGCAGTTAGTTGTCTCTGTTGTTTTCCTTTTTTGTTTATTTTTAATTAAAAATGTCTCTTCCGAATGAGAACCCAAGGTCGCTGCCATTGTTCTTGGCGTTGTTTCTTTTTTTTCTTGTTTTCTTCTAAATTAAACATTTTCTTCCGAGATGAACCAGCTCTGCGTTAGTTGTTCTCTGTGCGTTTCTTTTTTTAATTATAAATTTTCTTGCCTGAATGAGACCGTTCTGCATTTTCTCTAGTGCGTCTTGTTTTTCTTTCAAATTAAAGTTTCTTCCGAATGAGAACCCGCTTCTGCGACGGTTCCTTGTGCGTTTCTTTCTCTTCTATTTTCTTTTTAAATTAAAAATTGCTTCACAACTTTTTGAGACCCGCTTCCTGCAGTTAGTGTTTCTCTGTGTTTCTTTTTGTTTTATTTTAATAAAATTCTTCTCAATGGACCCGCTCCTGCAGTTTAGTTGTTCTCTGTGGTTTCTTTTTTTTGTTATTTTAAATTAAAAATTTTCTTCCAATGAGACCCGCTCTGGCAGTTAGTTGTTTCTCTGTGTTTCCTTTTTGTTGTTTTTAATTAAAACATGTTTCTACCAAATGAGACCAGGTTCTAGCGGTTGCTCTGTGCGTTCTTTTTTTTTTTTTTTTTTTTCTGTTTTCTTTCTTAAATTAAAATTCTCGAATGAGACCCGCTCCTGCAGTTGTTCTGTGGGTTTCTTTCTCGCTTTCTTATTTTTGTTTTAAATTAACATTTTTTCCGAATGAGACCACCTTCGCAGTAGTTGTTGTATGTGTGTCTTTTTGTTTTTTTTTTTAAATAAACATCTTTTTTCCGAATGAGAACCCATGGCCTGCAGTGTTCTTCTTGCGTTTCTTTTTTTTTTTTTTATCTTCCTAATTCCTTTGTTTTTTTTCTTTTTCTTGGATCGAGTCTCGCCTCTGTCGCCCGGCCAGAGTGGAGCGCACGTGGCGTCACCTCGCTCACAGCAGCCTCCGACTTCTTGGCCGTCCAGCGAGCCATCCTGCCTCAGCCTTCAAAGTAGCTGGGACCCAGGCGTGCGCCTCACACCCGCTCATTGTTTCCTATGTTTTAGTGGCGATTATTCTATTTTTTTTTTATTAGAGAATGTCTCCGCTCTGCTCAGCTGGTTTCGAACTCCTGACTGAGCGACCTCCGCCTCGGCCTCCCAGCAGTGCCCTGGAATGACAGGTTGAGCCTCCCCGTTCCGTCATTTCTTTTTTTTTTTGGAGACAGAGTCTCTTCCTGTCCCTGGGCTTAAGAGTGCCGTGCATCGGCCTCAGCTCACAGCACTCCAACTTTGAAGGCTCCAGGATCCTCCGCACCTCGCTCGCCTCGAGTAAGCTGGGACCCGGCCCGCCCTCATTTTCTTATACGCTTAGTGCCAATTAATTTTCTTTCTACTTTAGTAAGACGGGCCTCCGCTCTTTGGGCTCAGGCCGGCCCTCAACCCCGGGACCTCGATGAGATCCTCCTCACTCGGCTCCCTCCCGAGTGCTGGGGACGACAGCGCCGGAGCCTCCGCTGAAATTTTCCTTCTTGCATTC